GTTGTAATGTAAATATTCTAGATATTACTACTAGTCACCCCAGAGACATTTTCCAAACAAAATTAAAAATAGTTACAATTTTAGATAATGAAAATAAGCTAAGTATCAGCTATAAGTAATAGATATGTATATATCCATGGTGCGGTTTACTTTATATTACTTTTAAAAAATCAATTTAATGTTTTAAGTTTTAGATCGACATCTTAAAACAGAAATGTAAAAATCCTGAAGAGGGGTGCAAATTAAAGAAAATATTGCACCCGAAATGCATAGAAAATAAAGAATACGAATAAAAGCTTTGTCTCTGATTAAATGCGGTCCAGGCAAAAAAACGGGGGTTATTTAGGTACAATTAACCCATGAAGTTTTTTCATCAATTTTGAGGAAATATTTTTGAAAAATTGATTTTTTAAAAGTAAAAGCTAAGTATCATTTTAGAATTTTATAAAATTATGGCATGTCATTCAAGCTTTACCTGGTGCATAAAAACTAAAAACATATTTGAATTAAGAATGGAAAAATCACTATTGGTTTATGAAATACCATGAATGCAACATAAATCACAATCATTTTGTTGTTCATTGTTATTATTTTAATTGCAAACAGAAAAACTGATTTTTAACTAAAAATTCAGCATATTTATACTTCCTGGCCTCCAGCAAATGTTTATGTTTTGTGTATAAAAATAGACATTACAAATATTTATTTTTTGTTAATATTTGAAGCAGTTGAAACAAACAACAGATCACCAATTATCATTAAATAAATTCCATTGCATTATATAAACTAAAAATTAGGTTACATAGACTAGATTATTATTCCCCTGGCCTAATTTATGATCTAGTTTTACTTTATCTTAAACTTAAAATATTACAATAAATTAACATAACTTAATGCTTGTGATAATATAAGCATTAAATGAAAGATTATTTTTTGGGATTGTTTATCAAGTTATTTAGGTATTTATTGTTTAAGTATATAAATTACAAGTGTTTAAACATTTGTTTTTGATAATCATTACTTTCAAATAGCTTATTACAAATGCTTTGTTATTGTCAAAAACATACTTAAAATTTTCAACTCATTCATCTAAGAGGACAATTAACCTATTTCATATTCATTAAAATACATTTTCATATTATGAATATTTCATATTGATACAAAATACTGTTTGGTAATTTGCTATTCTCTTTACTTTGAAGACAACTTACAAGTTTAACTATTATTATTAGTTTGTTTTAAAACATTTGCATTAATATTCACAATTCCAGCTAAATTAGCATTTAGCTGTGAAATTTCTAATTAGCACAAATAGGGAAAAATGAATAACCTGTGTTAAGAATTTAAGATGGCCAAAAGACACTAAATATTATTGTCATGGACCATAATGTACCAAATGGAATAGAAAATAATATGCTTGCATCATTTTACTAATGAAATCAAGGGACACTTCAATTATGCAAGTTTTACAATATACAGTCGACCCCCCTATAACGTGGGTTCCTATAACGGAAATTCCTATAACGTAGTGAAAAAATTGCGGCAGTATTCGTATAAAGGGACTCGTAAAATGTCGTCGCCAACTCGTGTCGCGACAAGATTGGTCGAATCTGGACCAATAGTGGATGAGCAGCCGAACTACTTTCCGCCGTCCAGCGCCACGCTACGGAAAGTTTAGGCGGGTAAATTGAGTTTGCTATCGTCTGTACAGTATTATATATAAATTAGGTACTGTACATATAATTATATATTAATTATATATAAATTAGGTACTGTATATATAATTATATATTAACTTAATTTATTGTAACTTTATTATAATTATATATATACTTTCTGCCGTCTAGCGCCACGCTACGGAGAGTTTAAGCGAGTAAGTTGAGATTATTATCGTCTGTACAGTATGTAAATTATGTACCGTAAGTCTAATACAGCACTAATTTTATACATTTCTTGTGAAAGAAACATTTCTTATTCAATGGCCATAAAAATTATTTCTATTAATGATGTCTCCAAAGGTCAACAAATTTTTCGCAGAAAAATAATTTATCAGAAAATGCGGCCGCCGTTTGGTGCGCTGCTCCATGACGAAAACAAGCGTAAGAAATGGAGTCGTCGAATGGTGCACACTTGGTAAGTAATCCTACAATTTTTTGTTTATAGCATAGTTTATACGGATTATTCCCAAAAAATTATACGTGTTTTGGAAAGGTTGAGTCGAATTAGTCTAGAATCGGTTAATTTTATAGAAGAAAACCTTTTAAACAGCCATAGTCCGTAAACTTCACACATGTCGGGCTGTGATTGGCTCATGTATTTAAGGATTCCTACAACGTAAAATTCTTATAAAGTGGAATGTAGCTAAGTGTTATTGGGGGGGTCTACTGTAATTCCATGGTAAAATTTTATAATGTTTTATATTTATATAACATGTAAATATCTGAATATTACACTATGTGATGATTATTATTACTCCAAAGATTCAATAAGCACTTCTGATAGTGGTACAACTTAATTCATTCAAAGATTCAAACCCAATTCTAAATTCAAGTAGCATGGTATAACATGGTAGTTCAGTTCCTATAAAACTTTCTAGTGCAAAGCTGTTATATAGAATTAAATACCAATATAAAAGAGGAATGAATCCCAAAAGCCAAAATTTTAATAAAAATCTGCCAAATTTGCAAAGTAGATGAAGTAACATAAATTCTAATTTTCTGTTAATTTTTCTTCATCTGAACTGTTGCTTCATTTAAATGTAAACTTTAGCAACATATGATACATTTTTCCCTTTATTCAAGACAATTCAAAATTACTTTCCATAAAATCAGACACTAAAGTCTATTTTGAGCACTGCTTTTTTACTATCATTCAGTTTAATTTAGGAGTGGAATTTAATTTACAACAAAGAAATTATTTCAGTAATTCCTAAGAAAAAGTTCAGTAACACATACTCACAAAAATTAATAACCAATTAAATCAAAATAACTTTAATAAAATCTTAAAAGTCATAATATTTAATGGTCTCAAACAAGCGAAAGTTCAACAGCACACAACCTAACAAAGATTTCCCAATATTGTTGGAATTTACAATTTTATTTTTATACAGCTAGCAAATCAACAACAAAGATTTGCAACAAATTGAAAATGTCAAAAAATTACATTAACATAATAGCAAGTTTTCCTGCAAAAAAGCTCAAACAATATTAAGAAAGATGCCCAAAAGCAAAATACTCCAAAAACTTGAAAAATCAATTATTGTGTACCTGTCATCATGCTTAATTAGTATTGTAAATTCCCAACATATAGTATGAAATACACTAGAACCTAGGCAGTTTTTGTGCAAGAAATGTTATGTAATTATTATAAAATGTTTTTCAAGCAGAATACTGAGCAATATCAATAAAGGACATTAAATTACTCATGATTACAAATGCATAACTTTATTTTTAATCTTTTTGGAAATAAAATTTTTTGGCTTTGGGGAGCACACAGTGTGTCACAATTCTTTAAGTGTTAAAACAAACTGTTATTGAAGTTTTGTGTTATTACAGTCAAACTTTGAATTTAAAATATCTTACTATATAACTTAACTTCATTTATAAGCATAAGTTAAAATGCATAAAAAGCATAAGTTAAAATTTGTTTACATTTTTCTGAACTTCCAGCAATACAAATAGATTTGCAATCCTTTACAATTATTATTGTTGAATTTTCTTTATAAACAAACTACTGTAGTTCTAAAGGTGGGTAATAGATATTAGAAGTTTCAAGAACAATTCAATAAGACCATCATTAATCAAATTCTTTTCTTAAAATCTGACTAATAATTTGCATTTACTATACAGTAATATCCCGAACTTATGCGATAGGTGGAACAGAGCGATAACCGCGTAAGTCAGGGTATAATTTCGCAATTTGTGTAAAATCCAAGTCAGATGTATGTAAGCTAATAAATGTTCTCGTTAATCTTATCGTGTCTTTTGATTCATTCATGGTTACAACAAATCACTACATAGAGTCTCTCAAGTCTCCGTAGATATAACAAACACAGAAATAAATAACACAAAATAAATTGTAGCTATTTGTCAATTCTGCGCGACACGTCCTAACATGTAAGCTGAACAATAGTGTGGGGGGAGTGAGGAACGTGTAAGCTGAACAATAGTGTGGGGGGAGTGAGGAACGTGTAAGCTGAACAATAGTGTGGGGGGAGTGAGTAATGAAGAGTTGTGTGGCGCTCAAACAAAAGACAAATCAATGAGATTTGAAAATCACATAACTCCGGGTTCGCATAAGTCAGGGTAGCGTGAGTCGAGGTATTACTGTACTTTATCTTTTTTTCAAATAACTTAACCTACAAGTTGACATTGAATGTTAATATAAACAAACTTGCCCTGTTTGCAGTTGTCATTTTAAATTTATCATATATAATCTCTATAGTTCACTGAAATCATCAATAATTTGGTGTGTGAGTTAACTATATTCTAACATAACACTGCATGACTACAATATATCAAATTGCAGAAAATAATTAGCTGAAGATAAAAAATTACATCTGATTTGTTGAGAGTGAATTATTGAAAACTCTCTTCGTCATTACATAATTACATAAAAGTTTGCATGGTCCAAAAATGAACATCAAAGAAAAATTTTCAGAAACTAAAACACTTTAATGTTAAATTAAGATCTTTTACTTATGCTTCAAAGCTCTTTTTAAGCTTCATTTTTCAAATGCATCACTTGAATCTCTGAATGAAACCAAATACAGTAGTTTTATAGATTATCTCTAAACATTCTAAAAACTGTTTTTGTTTTAGAAAATTCAAAGCAGTTTACTTAGTGAAGCTAATTAAACAGTCTTATTTATTTTTTGAAAATTTGTGTATCATAATCAAAAATATTTGTCTTCATTAAAAAAAAAAGCAGAATGAACTAATTAAATCATCAGTTTATGCACACAAAATAATTATAGTTAATCAATATTGGTCAATAATAGCTTAGTTTTTTATATATTAATCCAAATTGCATTGTTAAATCTAGGATTTTGTTTCAATTGGCACTTCAAGTTTATCAAATTAACTTCTATTACATTTCTACATTGTTTTAAGAAAAAATCTGTTTTGTCAAAATTTTTTGTCGAACTCCTCTGATTAAATTTATAAAAGTTTATTACAAATAAATTTATACTTACTTTTGAACATTTTTTATCCTTTTAGTATTAACAGAATCAGTTATTGAAGTATTTTCGTTTTCTATAGAAAAACTTGTTCTTGTAGAATCAAGTTGTGAAGATCTCCTTGAAGGAATTTGTTTTGCTACACTAAGATTTGTGTCAATTCTACTTTTAATCTCTCTCTTAGTTTTAACCTTGGATTTTTCTTCTGCTAAACTTGCTGCGATTTTTGAAGTGACATCATCCCATCGGTTCTTTTTAAGACGATTTGTTTTTTGAGAATTTTCATTGTTTTTTGGCGTTTTTGACACTGATGTTTCGATCATAAGTTTTATTTTTGAAACAACATTCTTTTTCGGTCTTTTTTCAGAAGTTTGTAAATTCTCATTCTGAGTTCTTGCTTTCAATATATTATCCTTCTTAGTTTTATTTGGTTCTTTTGTCTTAATCCATGTTTTATTTTTTAATAAATGCTTTTGTGTGTCTGAATTTTCTTTCAAAGAGTTCTCTTCTTTACCAGAAATGATAAAACTATTAGTTTTTTCAACTCCTGAAAATTTTCTTTCACTTAAATCTATTGTTTCATTTACAACAGTAATATTTTTATCATTATTATTATTATTAGTAGTAGTAGTAGTATAAATTGTAGTAGTAGTTGAGTCACAGACTGAATTAAGTGAAGATGTCACAGTTTGAGACACAGTAACATCTTTAGCTAAATCTTCAGAAACATTTTCTGAAATAATTTCTTTTAAAGTATCATCTTGCTTAGTGGTCAAAATGACATTTCTTTGATCTTCATTTTGATTGTTCCGTTCAACAACTGTATCCATTCCATTACTTTCAACAGTAAAATCAGATACCATTTTACACTCTCCATCAGTTTCCATTTCACTTTCAGTAGTAAAGCCAACTCCACCAGAATCAGTAAAAAAATCTGAATCACTCATTTCTATTTGATGTCTCTCATTATCCTCAAGACCCATATTTCTATTACTATTGTATATAGAATGGGTAGGAATTTCTGAACAAGGTGATGGTACTGCAGCACTTATTTCACTCTGCACATCAAAATCTCCATCTTCTTGATAACCTGTATCTGTACTTCCAGTTGTATAAGTTGAAGCTGGTCTTTCAACCTTTATAACTTCAATATCAGATTTCATTAAAACATTTGTATCACTACATATAGGAATATTATTTGTTAAAAAGTTATTTTCAGAAATTTCAGAATCAATGGTCAAAGGAGCATTATTGCAATTATTGTCAGAAATATGTTGCATGTTTAAATTTTCAATGGAAATCTGTAGATTTTCATTCGATATAGCTGAAACTTTTTCTTTATCATCATTCAAGGATTTTAACTCACTGTCAAAATTTACATCATCTCCATCAATTTGGTTGGAAAATGTTATATTATGTATAAATGAACATGAAGGTATTTCTTCTTGATCAATTTCATTTATTTTTCTTTCAATATTCTTATTGTCAGTAACAATATCTCCCAAAGTTGTATCTGTTTTGGTTTGATCTTTCATTACCAATTTCAAATTCTTATCATAAGAATCAACACCCATATTAAACTCTGAAGAACCAATTAATGGACTAGAAGGAAATTCTGATTTTAAAGTCCTAGTATTTCCATATGGTGTTGAAGTTTGTCTGGAATTCTTTGAAACTTCATCAAATTCATCATTGTTGTCTATAGTATTTTTTGTGCTTTTAGGAAGTGTCCTAGATTCATAGAGTAGATCTGCACTTTCAAAATCATTTTCCCTATTTTCAGCTAAAATCTGTACATATGGATCATTCAAATGAGACAAAGTTTCTTTAACTTCATCTTCTGGTATATCATCAATATTATCACAGGATGCCATTTTTGGTATTCTAAACATATCTCCATCAAATACTATCACACCTTGTTGGTCTATAGAAAAATCTTTCATTTGGTTTGGAGTCAAAATACCTAAACTTTCATCTAAAGATGGTTGATCATCATCTATATCATTAATATCAAATGCATCTTCAAAGCTCAGTTTTTTTTCTGATTTTAAAAAATTACATTCATTCTCTTTTGGTTCTTCTTTACCTTTCTCAAATTCTGTAGTAGTTTCCAATGTAAAAGTTGAATTAAGATCAGAAATTAATTTTAAGCAGGGATCACTTAATTTATTAAAATTATCATTTATAGGAGATAAATCTACATCAAATGNTTGTATATACTACTACTGCTAATTTTTTTCTTGTAAAATAGAAAAACAGCACTAAACACTAAGAAAATATTTCACAAAAAAACAAAGATCTCCAGAAATAAAACTTAATCTACTAACCACTACAAATTAATATTTCACAATAATTTAGAATTTGGTCTTTTACTTCAAATTCTTTATAATTATGAAGCATTTCTCAATTTAGAAAATTTTAAATAGTTTTAATTAGGGTTCAGAAATCCATTTGTATATACTCCATTGGTAAATTGTTAGAAACAGATAGCAAGTGATTTTTTTTTCAGCCACATTTTAAATTCATTCAAAATATGTTCTTAGTGTAAGTATTTTAGTGGCTTCATTTTAAATTATGCAAAGAAGTTATTTTTGTATCTTATGTAGTTGTAACCAAGAAACATACTTTTTGATTCTGGTACAGTAAGAAGCAAAGAATACCGTATTTTTCGCCGTATAAGACGCAGGCACTTTTTTCCCCCCGATTTTGGAGAGAAAAAGTGCGTCTTATACGGCGAAAAATACGGTATGTTGCTTTGTTTTTATCACAAGATTTAACACACTTTTTTATCATCATCAATCTAAAAATTATTTATACAAAATATATCAATACTGTGGGCAAGTAAAACATTTTTAGTGGTTAGTAGATTTAAGTTTTATTTCTAGAGGTCTTGTTTTAATTATTGTTTACTATTATTATACTTTATGACTGAATAGTAATGAATAAAAAATTACAAAAGTAACAAAATATAAAAATAAGAGATATTTAAAGTGAATTTAAAGAAAGTTAATATTAAGATACAAAGTAAGATTTCATTAGAAAATACTATTAACTGTTAAAGAATATTTCACAAATTACCATAATTTTCATTATTATTCTACAAGTTAAATAAGTCAGTTTGATAAGTTTAATTTTGAATATATCCATTTATTNTTCATTTACAACAGTAATATTTTTATCATTATTATTATTATTAGTAGTAGTAGTAGTAGTATAAATTGTAGTAGTAGTTGAGTCACAGACTGAATTAAGTGAAGATGTCACAGTTTGAGACACAGTAACATCTTTAGCTAAATCTTCAGAAACATTTTCTGAAATAATTTCTTTTAAAGTATCATCTTGCTTAGTGGTCAAAATGACATTTCTTTGATCTTCATTTTGATTGTTCCGTTCAACAACTGTATCCATTCCATTACTTTCAACAGTAAAATCAGATACCATTTTACACTCTCCATCAGTTTCCATTTCACTTTCAGTAGTAAAGCCAACTCCACCAGAATCAGTAAAAAAATCTGAATCACTCATTTCTATTTGATGTCTCTCATTATCCTCAAGACCCATATTTCTATTACTATTGTATATAGAATGGGTAGGAATTTCTGAACAAGGTGATGGTACTGCAGCACTTATTTCACTCTGCACATCAAAATCTCCATCTTCTTGATAACCTGTATCTGTACTTCCAGTTGTATAAGTTGAAGCTGGTCTTTCAACCTTTATAACTTCAATATCAGATTTCATTAAAACATTTGTATCACTACATATAGGAATATTATTTGTTAAAAAGTTATTTTCAGAAATTTCAGAATCAATGGTCAAAGGAGCATTATTGCAATTATTGTCAGAAATATGTTGCATGTTTAAATTTTCAATGGAAATCTGTAGATTTTCATTCGATATAGCTGAAACTTTTTCTTTATCATCATTCAAGGATTTTAACTCACTGTCAAAATTTACATCATCTCCATCAATTTGGTTGGAAAATGTTATATTATGTATAAATGAACATGAAGGTATTTCTTCTTGATCAATTTCATTTATTTTTCTTTCAATATTCTTATTGTCAGTAACAATATCTCCCAAAGTTGTATCTGTTTTGGTTTGATCTTTCATTACCAATTTCAAATTCTTATCATAAGAATCAACACCCATATTAAACTCTGAAGAACCAATTAATGGACTAGAAGGAAATTCTGATTTTAAAGTCCTAGTATTTCCATATGGTGTTGAAGTTTGTCTGGAATTCTTTGAAACTTCATCAAATTCATCATTGTTGTCTATAGTATTTTTTGTGCTTTTAGGAAGTGTCCTAGATTCATAGAGTAGATCTGCACTTTCAAAATCATTTTCCCTATTTTCAGCTAAAATCTGTACATATGGATCATTCAAATGAGACAAAGTTTCTTTAACTTCATCTTCTGGTATATCATCAATATTATCACAGGATGCCATTTTTGGTATTCTAAACATATCTCCATCAAATACTATCACACCTTGTTGGTCTATAGAAAAATCTTTCATTTGGTTTGGAGTCAAAATACCTAAACTTTCATCTAAAGATGGTTGATCATCATCTATATCATTAATATCAAATGCATCTTCAAAGCTCAGTTTTTTTTCTGATTTTAAAAAATTACATTCATTCTCTTTTGGTTCTTCTTTACCTTTCTCAAATTCTGTAGTAGTTTCCAATGTAAAAGTTGAATTAAGATCAGAAATTAATTTTAAGCAGGGATCACTTAATTTATTAAAATTATCATTTATAGGAGATAAATCTACATCAAATGTTGTATTGAGTGCATCTTGATCTTTTACTATAGTGGTCTCTGAAATTTCAGCTGGCTTGTCCAATGTAAATGTACTATTTAGATCATCTTTATCTAACACATCTGCTTTTGCATTTGTTTCTGGGAATGCTACTGTCAAGCTCTCTGTAGAGTGCGTGGTTTTATCTATTAAGAGTGATGATGGCATAATTTTTGCAGATTCTTCTTTTTCATTCCTTACAAATGTATCACTGCATAAATTTTCACAGTCTTTTAATTCCTTTACAGATAAATTTTTGTTATCTTTGCCAAAGCCAGAATTCCTTCTTAAAACAAATGACAAACATTGTTCAGAATGGCTATCTTTTTTGGTTCCAACGTAATTTGGAAAAGGTATTCTACTTTCTTGATCAGCACAGAAAGTTAAATGACTTAGTGATTCTTTTGGAGAACTAGTCCTTCTAAAATCTGTTAAATTCTTATATGAAAATTTATGCACTTGTTGAAAATTATCAACTCTAAAATTTGATGATACTGGCTGTTGGGCATTGTGTGGTGGTTCAGCATTAGAAATAAGCTGAACTTTAGACACAGGTGCAAAAATACCATGATTTTCTTTACATTGAAAATATTGAACACCCTCAATAATGCCATTATTTTTTCCAACAGGCTCATCTAATTCAATTCCACACCATATCCCATCAGCAAATTTCGTCTCTCCATAGTATCTCAGTATTCCTTTTTTAACTCCACTTATACAAACTGGATCTCCTAATTTTAAATCACATTGTTTAAATTCTGTCTTAGGAACATTCTCTTTACAAAAGACTTTTGATTGTTTCTCCAACTGTTCAAATTCAGCTTTCTCCGCAACACAAGACTCTTTAACAAAACCAAATTTGTTTGTAGTCAATTGCGGTGGTCTTAACTTTGAAATTCCCTTCTTTCTTCCATGATACAGATTTCGATTTTCATTTGCCTAAAAAAAAATATAAATAAAAATTAAAGAAAAATCATATAAAACATCAGAAAAAAAATCCAATATCAAATTTTATATTTTAATAAAATTATAAAAAAACTTCTTTAAAATTAAATAAATAGTTATTCTATATTATAAGATTTACTTTTTTTTTCAATTGGCAAAGAGATTACATTAGGTAGATTCTAGTGTATAGCATTTTGGGACTGATCTATATTGATGATAACAGCAGATTGATAACATTAAGTGGGATAGGTAAATAAAACTACAATGAGTGAAAATCTTTTAATGTCATAGTCAATGAAAATAAGACATGTTAAAACAGAAATGCAAACTAATAAATAATTATAATTAATAAATCTTCAATATGTAATTCATAAATAATCTCCCTAACATCTTTAATAGCAGCTGGTATATAATTGAAGAAATAAACTGCTAGCAATTTAAACTAATATATATTCACAGTCACCTTTCATATTGGTTCCAGCAGATTACAGTAACAACAATCTGCTGGATCCAATACAAAAGGAGACTGAGTATTTATATCCTTTTCCAACTTCTGAGGGTTTTCTGCACTATTATATTGAGAAAATAATGATTAAAGCAATTAGTGTTAAATGTTTAATGTACTGGTTAAGATAGATATTTATAATTAACAACAATTGTACAACAAAGACTGAGAGGTAAAAAAGTTTAAAACACCTGTATATTTGGAAATAAATGACAACAACCAAATTCTAATTAAAAATATGCTATAAAAAGTACACTTATGTTTTGGGATTTTAATTTTGGATAACAAACAATTAACAATCTTCATGATTACAGTAAACAGAATCTATTATATTTGTAGATATTATTTGTCCTGGCAAACTTTTTTTTTATCAAATATATATTTTTCAATTAATTTTGCCATTGCTAGAGGGGAGATTTTACTTTTTACATATTGAGACAAATGAGTAGCCTCTAAAGAATGGTCAACCCTGCCATGACTGTTAATTCCTAAAGTGCGTGAAAGAGATGAAGTTGGAGGACATTTTTTATGTATTGTCTTTTATGAGAAATTTTTTACAAAATTTTTAAGTTTAAATCCACTATCATTGTCACATGCTTTGCTTTATTGTGTAACAATTTTAAAAATGTAGACAGTTGTATCTGAAGAAAGTGAAAACCAGAATCACAACACAGAATGATTTAATCAACTTTTAAATTTCATGTTTCATTTCCATTTTGTTATTTTTATAGAATCCATGTAAATCTAAAGGTGTCCATTATAAATGATAGAAAAAAAGTTTTTCTCAAAATTTACTTTCAATTGCTGGATTTTTGGTGTTGTTGTCATTAATTAGAGAATTTTTATTAGTTGTTACTCCTCTATCGATAAAATTTTGACATACAATTAAAAAGTGGATTAAGTTCAAGTAACAATAAGAAAGTCATAGTCAAGCAAAATAATTTAATGTTTGAACTATGCTACATGAACAGTTGCTATACCAAAATATTCTTTCAATTACCAGTACAGTGTGTATTTCTATTAATAGGACTTATTAAACTGATATACAAGATTACTGCAAGTCAGTCACAAAGAAAATACCTGCTGAAGAGAGACATACAAGTCCGAAACGCTATATGTATGTGTCCAGGTAAATGTAAATAAAACAATTTTAATCTGTGTGACTGACTTGCAGTAATCTTATATATCAGTTTAATAAGTCCTATTAATAGAAATATACACTGTACTGGTGATTGAAAGAATATTTTGATTAAATTAAGGACATTGAAGCATATTAAATTAAGTTGCTATACCCTTTTCACCATCAAACTGTACAAGGCTTAAGCATTGAAGAGTATCAAACACAGAGTGAATTTTCATGGTGGTATTTAAAAGTGTGAATTAACAGCATTCCATGCATAGCTTTAACAAATGTTTAACACTAATATCATGTATCTCTCTGGTACTCATGCAGCAACTACTATCAACTACGTTAAAAATCTGTATCTTATAGGAAGCTGATGTAACCACCAGACCATAGGACCAAAATTGCTTGTATTGACCCTTCTCTATCATCATTTCATTTTGTTGGTCTACTTTTTTAACCCTTGATATACTAATTCTATTCATTAATCTAGTTCACTTGTTCTAATACCTTTTCTTATCTGGCTGGTATTAGAACTTTGTAACATGATCTTAAAACTATCATCAAATAAACACCAACAATTAAAAAGTGAACTTAGTCCACTTTTTAATTGTTATGTCCTATGATATAATGTCATCAAAAAGTTTAATTTGAAAAAGTCAAGTTTCTGATAATGATTTGATAATTAAAATTTATTATTAGATAAAATAATATCACATATTTATTTCATATATATAAGATTAAACATATTTCTACAAAAAAATTTATATTTGGCATTTATACTTACATGTTCAAATTAGAAAAAAATAAATGCTAAATTCAGGAACAAAACAAATTTTATCTAGAAATTTCTGAATTAAAATTTGTTTTGGTTCCTGAATTTAGTATTTTTTTCTAATAATTTTAAATATATTTCTTACATACGCAGAATAAAGGTATATTATAATAATTAGATACAAAATTGTTATATTTATAGAACATCAATAAAAATACAGTATAACGTCTGTGAATAGAGGACACTGTTGGGACCGAGAAGTTTGTCTGCTATTCAGAGGTACAGTACATGCCAGCAGATATATTGTATTTTAACCCAGTCATTATAAAGTGAAGAATACGGTGGACTGTAAAAACATCAAAATTTGCCTTAGGAATGTAGTGAAAATACAAAAAGTATACGTAGTAAATATATTTAATATACACATACAATATATAATTATCTTTTCAGCTGTAAAAATTACATTTTAATTGAATTCTAAATAGCAAATAGATTGTATAGGATACTTTAATTGAATGGAACATAAAAATTACGACAAAACAGACATTAATTAATTATTAATTCATCAAAAATGACCTGAGCAGAAGTAATGAAAAAAAAAAAAAAAATGAAACTGTTATTATGAACAAAAGGGTGGGCAAAGGTCGGTTTAGGCAATGAGAGTTTGAATGTCGAGTTACAAAGAATATTTGCTAGCCACTTCAAAGGGTAAGAAATGTATTCAGTATTCTTGCATTTATATCATTTACGATCTAAGCAACTAATAAAAATCGATATAGTGATTTGTCTACTTTGTAGTTATCAAGTACGTTTAATTTTTCAAACATTTTTGCTTTTTTAATAAATGATTTATTAATTAAAAATTACTTTAGCCACTGCAAAGCTGTTAAGATCATAAATTATGTCATAAATGCAAGAAAACCAAATATCTTTCTACACTTTAAAGTGACTGGCAAATCGTCTTTGTAAAACAATATTTGAACTTTCACCAAATAAATATTGTCGTCTTAACCTTAAAACTGTTTCTTTTTCATTACTGCCTTGCTACAGTTCTTTTCTGAAGTTATTCATTCATTTGACAAGTTCACATTTCTTGGTACCATAAGCTTGGTAATCCTACAATAAGATAGAAGTTTAACAACATTAATACGTATGACAAATGGCAATTGATAATTTAACCAGATTAGTCTTCTCTAACAGATAAAGAATATTGTTTGGATTTTTACAACTACCCTCCACCCCTATTCCTATTTTAAGCCAGTCTTTATTTGATGCCTATGGTCAAAATTCATCCTCTGAAAGAGTATTTGAACTGATTCTTTGTTCTAGTTTTAAAATATTACTTCTTTCAAAATATTTAAAGCCGGACTTTGTGTTTTTGTAAGGTAGGTTATTGACAACAACATCCATTATTCAGTGTGTCTGTTAGAAGTAAATATTATAGATGTCCTATTTGAAGGGTCTGGGGATTGTAAAAATATCTGTTAAGCGGGGATGTCTGCTATTCAGGAGTGTCCATTAATGGAGGTTTCATTGTATATTATTGTGAAAGACCAAAATTAGAGAATGTCAATATTCTCCGTCAATATTTGGTCTTTCACCAACAAAATATGTTGGTGAAAGACCAAATATAGTATTTGGCTATATTATTATACATTCGAATAATCGCCAGTGTATGTCGACAAGCACAGATAAGCTTTGGTGGTGGTCGAAACAATATCCAAGTCGACAGAAAGGCAACAGTCTGTCACCAAATCCTTTGTTCTACCACAATTGGAATCACGTGGTTATCTATTTGTCTCTGGAACACTGCTGTTTGTCAATCTTATGCAAGGTTTGCCAGTACATGAAATGTTTTCTTAAATTTTATTTTTTTTTATCCAATACTCTAATTTACATTGAATGGATACTGCAGTGAACCGAGAACTTTTTTTGAAAAGTTACATGCATTAATTGCAAGTAAACGAGAAGACAATTGTTTTATTTTTCTCAAGAAAAGTACTCTAAAATACTTTCTGAAGTGATTTCTGCTAAAACTAAGTGCAACACACCTTTGGATTACAGACGATTAAAACATTTTGATGTTTCAAAAATTAATGATGAAGAGAAATTAATTGTACCATTAAAACCAGGAGAAATGAATATACAGTATTATGTTACCAATGATAAATTGTTCAGTATACTATCTGAAACTCACAGCAGAACAGGCCATGGATGAAGAACAAACATGCTTAAAAAATTGCAACTTAAACTTAAATACAAAAATATTACATATGAAGTTGTAATGTTGTATTTAAATTTATGTAAACAATATCAAATGAAACAGTGCACCTAAAAAAGATATTGTTGTGAAACCAATGGTCAGTTCGGAGTTAAACTCTAAATGTCAAGTCGATCTGATAGACCTGCAGTCACACAGGAATGGTGAATATAAGTTCATAATGGTGTATCAAGATCATTTAACAAAATTTGTCCAGCTACGACCTTTGAAAACTAAGACAGCTGAAGAAGTAGCATATCACCTTCTTCAAATATTTTTAATATTTGGTGCCCCAGCTATATTGCATTCAGATAATGGTAGGGAATTCTGT